AATACTGAGAATGTCTTTTTTCGAAAAAAGAAAAAACAAACATAATGCTGAGAATTAATATATAACCACCTGAATTAGGTTTGCAATGATGATTTTCAGAAAATTAGGTTTTCAGTGAGTCGATTAACTATATCGCACGCTTAATATGATAATATCACGTTTCTTTTTATTTTCGCTTTATGTAAGAAGTCAGGGGGAGGAACAAATTCACTAGTTTAATACTACTAAACTAATTTTGGTAAGGTGGCCTAAGTTAGGCCATGTTTTTTAATAACTACTACACTGGATTTGCGTTAATTAATTTGGCCAACCTGATTATCCCCAATAAAAAATACTATCAGTCTATCATGTTAATAGCATATATAGATCTGTGTTGTATATCTGTATTCTCTTCTCTTGTACCAAAATTAATGGTGCGATGTGAGATAAGAATCTAAAATGAACGGTTGAGATGGAATTGGAACATTGCATAAAATAGGATGAAGTTTGGGTCCAGATCAGAAGAAACGAAGAGGATGATGGTGCTGACCTTTCTCGTCCTTTAAACATCTCACTCGTTCTCTTCCCACTTGCATTGCATGGCCCAATTCTTCATTTAACGACATATTTTCCAATTACACCAAACCGCATTTTCCACTAATCGTTCTATGTCACGATCTTGCATGTTAATTACATGTATTCAATTTCAACGCACAAGCTTATCTTTCTTTTTGCTTTTCTTCCCACTAAAAGTGATATGACGTTTGATAGTAATTCAGAAGGCCCAACATTGTGTTGTTAGGCTAACGCAAATTATATGTTTGTTTCTGCATTTTGATTTAGAAAATAAATAGTATATACTAAATACGATAAATATATGTTTAGACAAATAAGGAAAAGTCAAAACCAGAAGCCTACTATTTCTAGAAATTGTTGTAAAGGTCAATGATGTGGATGATAAACCAATTACATGCATCATGTAATGAGACGTGATATATAAATTTGTTTAAAGTGTAAACTTTGACCCGGTAGTACATATACAATCCTTAATAGTTTAAGCATTTTTTCAGTATGGGATTCGAGCGAGGAGATACACTCTTGCAATTGTAAATTAAAATGCACATAATTCTTTGATCAATTTGAAAAATTAAATGATATCACTCTCACAATTACTAAAGAACCTTTCACTTTACAAACAATTACCACACAAATCTTGATTTTATTTTAGTTTCGACTAATATATTGTTTGTTTTAAAGGCCTACTTTTAATAATGTGACTATTTTTATAAAGGTTTGTGATTTTAATATTCTGTTTTTTATAATAAAGATCCAGAATCTACAACTCACATACGCATACTAATAGAATTGAATCTAGGTTATGAAATGGTGTCGGCACTAGTACATATATGATCATATGTATTTATCCTTCTATAAACAAATATATGGGGCTTTCTCAAAATAAATAAATAAATATGGTCGGAACGGGTTGAACATGATAGAGGTGTGAGTCCATGCCCACTAATCAAATGGTTCAATGTCTAGGCTTGGTTTTAACTTTTTAAGATTACTGTCTTCAACAGAAGAGTTATAATTGTTTATTTGAGGAAAAAGTATTAGTTACTTTTGCTTCAAACAAAATGGATAAACATTGGAAGAAGGTAGGACCGAGAAGAAAAGGAGGAGGGGGAATTAGGTACTCTGCTCCGTACAAGAATATGGCTTTGGGCAATACCATGGATTCATCTCCCCTCTTCACATACAATCATTTTCTTGATCTTCTTTGTCCCCATTCTTAATATCTTATACATATTTAATTATAATTCATATAATTGAGCAATAATTGCGTAGAACTCATTGGTTATAGGCGCTTGTGTAAACCATCAAAATAACAAAAGTTGACGTTTTAAGTTTTGCTTTCAAACATGCTAGTGTAGTTTTGATCCCTAATGACGTGGAATACAAGTTTATTAAATTGTGTGGGGATAATGATTGATTGATATCCCTATAAAAAAATGTATATAAAGAAACTAAAGTGAAACAGAGGAAACATTAATGGTTTGGGAAAAATCTGGTGGTTAAGTTCCACCAAACTTTGATGGTTTGGGAAAAATCTGGTTGTTAAGTTCCACCAATAAAGCACAGTTCCCATCCAAGTGGGAACGTCAACTAAAATTTCACCACTTTTTTAGTTAATCCAAATAAATCTGCAGGTACACTGTTATGTAGAGGTGTATATAACATCAAAATTAGTTTTCTTAATCAAAGTATAATTTAATGAATGTTATGTTTGGTGGATCATAGAAGGTTTATGATCTAATACCAGAGAAACGAAGAACTAATATAATAGTTTGAAAGTACTATCTCATGGTGACTATAGTTTGAGATGCGATTATTCTGTCAACAAAATACTCTAAAAAAAACCGCCGACGCCTTTGATTTTCCTTTCCGGCGTGTGGTGACTCTCACTTCCGCCGGAAAAGGTACGACCTCTGTCTCAGTTACTTCCTAGGCTACTTGATTTTCGATGGCTCTAGGTTGTTTGTCTCAGATCTTATTTTTAGTTTGCTCGTCATGGTCTTCGCCGCCGCCGGCTACTCTCCGTATCGACCTCGGCATTGCAGCCTAGCGGAGATGGTTTGTTCGGGTCACTGAATCTTCCTTGTTGAGTGGTTGAATTTAGGTTAATTGGTTAAGACGGTTGGGGTTAAGATTGGCTATGTTCAAGGACGAAAAGGTCAGTTATGTTGCTTCTAGCTCCTCTTCCGCTCTGCCTACTCGCTTCCTTCTCGATTGCAGGTTTAGTGTGTCCTCGGTTGTATCCTTGGTATGAGTTCTCTCGCTTGGTCTCGGACAATTACTTCATTGGTTCAGGTTTTTGTTCTCCCTTGTTTATGTTCTTCTAGACTCGCTTGGTTGATTCTGGTTTTTGTTTAGCTGTAGTTGTTGTGGATCTTTGTTCACTGGCTTCGTCACCTCCTAGGTGCTTTTTCCTTCTTTTTTTTCCAGCGCATCTCTTGGGTTTTGGTGTTGTGGTTAGAGTTTCTTTGGGAATAAGTTTTTCGAGCAGAGGGCTTCATCTTCTTTGTCCTTGCCTTGATGCTCCAAAGTCTTCTGGTGCTTCTCTTCTTTGGTCTCGAGCCTCTCTGATTAGACTTGGTCCCGAGCAGTCTCCTTGCGGGTCATGATTGTCGGGCTTGTTT